ACAGGTATAGAAACCCGGTTTTAGGGTTGTAAGTCCGCACACATACCATACCACTGTGCCACTGGGGGGGTCGACTGACCTTGTATTTGTTTGTTTGTAATTAAGCACAGAGCTACAGAATGGGCTATCTGTGCTCTGCCCACCACGGGTATCGAAACCCGGATTCTAGCATTGTAAGTTCGCAGACATACCACTGTGCCACTGGGGGGCCTTACCTTGTAACCACCAAAAACAAAACAAAATGTATCTAAATTACCTTTTTCTTTCTAGAATGACTTCAAATTATAATAAGCTTTACTCCCATAACAGTATACATCTATTTATACTTAAATTTTTTTTTATTGCCCTTTGAACCCCGATGTTTGAACATGGCATTATAAGTTGTAAATCACTTAGCAAACATGCAGTTCACATTACGCTATCAAACTGCATTATGCATGAGCTACTTGTGAGCATATCTGATGAAAAATGTTTATTATATTATTATTCTTTATTTCACCTAATTTAACCTTAAGTAACATAAAAAGTTTCCTATTTTTACCTTTTAGTTAATTTTATAATAATAAATAAAGAATACACATTAAAAACAAGAAATAAATACTTACCTGGGTCTTCTTTTTTTTTTTTGCTGTCAACTGTGATGAAACTTAACCCTACTTTTTTATACTAATGGTAGTACTGACAAAATAATTTTTTATTTAATTAAATAATTCACCAAAGAACACACAGTAATAATTTCCAAAAAGCAGACAATGTCCCATAACTATCACATTTTTTTTGGCTTTCTAACTATGCAACAAAAGCCATTAAAATTTCATCTAAGATAGTCGATGTGTTTCCTGTGGGAATCAAGCTTAATATGAAAGTGAAATTGACAATTCTCTTTACAGAAAACAAAGTAATATAATAAGTCATTTGATAAATGAAAACCTTGGCTTTCTATTGGTTATAAATAATATAGTATTGAATAGCAGAGAGAACAATTGACAATTTATGAAAGAGAAGATGTGACAGATGGGCATGGCAAGAGGAATCTGGTTGTCTATTTCATGGCTCTGTAACAAATTATATTGAAGGCTATGAAAATTATGCTTTGCCCATGTGATGACGATATTATAATAAGTAATTTACATTAAAGTTCATACTTCTCGGAGGGATGGTAAATAAATTATAGAGGAGAGGTTGTCTAAAGAGCAAATGTCACAATTCTCATACAAGGTGAAATTCTAGATTTGTTTTTTTATATTACCTCATAAAAGTAAGAACTTAGATCTTATATACTATTAAAATAAGCTATATTTATTACATACCAAGAAAATAAAGTAGTTAAGTTAAATTTTGAATGTAACTCACTAAAACCTTGTGATATGTGCAGAAAAAGATGTCCGTGGAGAGAGGGTTAACTAATGTTCACTATATCACTACACCAAAAACTAAAGCAAATCAAGTAATAAACTAAACATTTTCCTTGCCCAAAAGGCTTGATTTCTGTTTATAAGTTGTATGTGTATGTACACACACACATTCAGAAACACACTTCCAGTTAAAGCGGTGTTACTTTTCTAACAGGATAGTTAGTCTATGGAATAGGTTTCCTTCAGGTGTGGTGGAAGCTGCACCGTTGAAGGAATTTAAGAAAGGAATGGTGAGTATTTGATAGAAAAGGGATTTATGAAGTAGGGTAGTATAGAATGGGATAAGCTAGATGGACCCTTGTTATCCCTTTGAAATAAAAAATAAAATACAACAATACTCACCTAGTTTTGTTGTAGAGAATGTCAGCAACCTGAGGTTGAATTAACATAATATAGTTAGCACACACCTGATCACCAGCATGTGGATTAGGGAGTGGTTGATTCTCCTGAAAATAACACTCACTAAGTACAATTTACCTTGCAAAGACATATAAATTCAAAGTTTTAAACTACTTTGTATTACTTAAATAACAATAAAAACCATCAAGTTTGTACTTAATAGTTACTAACATTATATAATTATTTAAAGTATAATAACACAAAAGAATAACATACTTATCAAACTTCTGTTTGCATCAAGTGAAAAGTTGTAAACAAAAACTATTTTTTTAGTGTGCTTTATTAATATGTTTTGCACAAGAACAGTCAATGCTTTGACTTTTTCCTTGCTCTATTTTTCCCATTTATTAAACTTAAACTAAAAGTAATGTCTTTTACTTTGGTAATCAACATTATTCTCCACATAATCATGGAATGAATTGTTTCCTAATAGGAGTAAATGTTTAATATTACAGGTTAGAGCTAACTGTTGATGTCCTACTTTAATATTGTTTGTAAGCATTTAAGTCAAATATTGGTAAATTATAGCAAAGCAAAAATATTCAGAAGCAGATTTCTTCATTCAGTAAAAAATCTACAAACAGTTTTTCTGTGTCAAACTACAATGTTTAACTAATTTTGACTTGAAAAACTAATTCCAAGTTTGACATCTATAATGGTAATTTATTCTAGTTTTGGAGGAGTTTACTGTTACATCATCAACTTTTACTTTACTATACATAATTACCAAATTTTATAGCAATCTAATCACAGCTCAGTCTAGGTATTGAAGCTCAAAAATATGATTATACAATAAAAAAACAAAGCAATCCGGCAAATTTCATGCCATTAAAATGTGAAGAAAACCCAAGGGCTAATTTTAGGTGGTAAGTAGAAGAACCAGGTTTCTTTAGGAATGCAATAGAGTAAAGGTGTGTACATATATAAAAACTACACCAAACCATCTTCCAAAGCTGAAGTCATAAAAAGCTCTACTTGATGACATGCTCTATCAGAGGCCAGAACAGATCTAGATTAAAAGTGCTACACTACTGGGTGATCATCAACTAAGTGTTGTATAACTAAATCTCCTATACTGTGGTATTCCTGTGATACAGAATGGAAAACCCATATATCTAAATCTGTGTTAAATTAGCCCTTAAGCCACAAGTTTAAACAGCAGGTCTATAAGATAATGGCACACACACACATCAGATATGCTGTGTTAATTGTTGTGGAAATAGCAAACAACAGAAATTTATTCAACGTGCCTCCAGCATTCTTGGAGATCAGGCATTTGATTCTGTCACATGTACACTTACCTGTGTAGAAGACTGGGTTTTGCAAGACACATCACAGCAACGTACCAAAATACTGACTACTTGATGTAATTTACCCAGTTCAGCATATTGGTACCTAATGGGGGGGCCAGGACCCTCATCTAGAGCTACCAGCATAAAGGTAGCTGGGACATTCAATTTCAACAGCTGAGTTCTCTGTACAAAAGAGGAAGAAAAATATATATTAAATATCAAACATATAAAAGTACAAATTAAACATTGTACTATGTCATAAAACAGCTAGTTGTATTGGTGTTTCTCTTACTACAAACATTTCCTACGAAAACATCCATTATTAATAAAATATATATTTTTTATGCAAAACACTTTATGTACAGTAAATAAACAATTCTAATAACATAAAATTATTTACATGTTTACTCTGTAGTACTCTCCTTACATCTTCTAATATGAATATCAATAATTGTTGTATAAAACTAAAAAACACTTTATGTACAGTAAATAAACAATTCTAATAACATAAAATTATTTACATGTTTACTCTGTAAGTACTCTCCTTACATCTTCTAATATGAATATCAATAATTGTTGTATAAAACTAAAAAAAAAATGATACAACAAACATCTGTTTTATATCCAAGAAGTTATCATTAAACCTATTAGTTTTATTCTAAAATATTATTTATTTCCTTATGAAATCAGAACATTTCAATGAAAGTAACTTGTTAAGAATAACTACATAAAGTTAATACCCAGTAGATTATATTAACACAGAAGTCCACAGAGTGTTAAGTTATGGAATGAACCAGCTGCTAAATGAGTAGTCTATAAACAATTGTTCTGATTAATTATTAGTCAGTGTAAAACATAATACTCAACATAGTCTGGCAAATATCCTTCATAATGCTGTCATTAATATAGAATACATCATACAGTGAGTTACAGCTACATACCAATTATAATATAATTATTCCTAAGTGTAAAGCATTAAACTCTGAACTTCTGAAACACCTAAGGATTGTTTGCAAAGCTACACGAGGGCTATCTGCGATAGCCGTCCCTAATTTAGCAGTGTAAGACCATAGCATTATAACACCCCCACGGCTGAAAGGTCGAGCATGTTTGGTGTGACGGGGACTCGAACCCGCGAGCGCCTTAACCACCTGGCCATGCCGGGCACACACCTAAGGAAGTTTACACTAACACAGAGCTTTAGTTATCATAGCAGTAAACCCTAAACAGAGCATCACTCTCCTAACTCCTCCAGAAGGAAACACCACATATACTAATGTACAGACCCACCTGTCTTAGTAGTATTACTTTTCAATATAAGCTATATTCATACCTCTGCTACTCCTAGAGAAGCATACATCACAAACAGGACTGAA